CCACTAAAATGGACCAAACAGGGGAAACCAAATGCTCGAAGCGGCTTTGGGCAAGTGGTGTTGGCTTCTTTCAGATGTCCAGGGAGAACACACATTGGCATTAGCACAGGGCCTCAATTCAGACATCTCCGAATTGGTACTTTGGATTCGGCCTTAGCCGCCAAACCACCGGGCTCCAAACTACCAATCAAAGGGAAACTGGTCCATGGCATCTTGAGTTGTTTGGATTGCTCTTCCCTGTCACGTCTGTTGCTACCTGCCTTGGTCAAAACTCTCCTTGTGCCGATTCATAGCAGTGGTTCCCTTTGTAAGGAACCTTGCCACTGTCTAAAGCAGCCATTGCGAGGTGACAGCAGTCCTTTGACCATAGTCACAATCAAGTGGTGTACCCAAAACCCACGGTGAATAATTCAGAAGGTCAAAAGGGATTGTCCGATCAAACATTGTAACTTGCTGGTCTTCATTGAAAGTTGAAACGATCGCCGCTTTGGCGGCTCCAAATGAGAAGACGGAGGACCTGCACCTATTGCTCCGATCCTTCAACATGTAATTTTCCAAGCTGAGGATGTGTCTCGCATGGAGCAATGGGGACCTACAAATTAAGATGGAAATGTCTCCCAAAGGTGTTTTCTCTAGAAATGATGTGTTTGCGGGGTGCCATGTTGATCTGCAGCAGAGTAGAGGGGCACCAAAAGCAGAATATGTCTGCTTCTGTGTCATATGGCCATATGAATAGGGAACCGTTTTTAAAGTGGGTAGTGGACAGACAACTCCCAACTGATGTCCACCTTTTGACGCAACCCCATATTTAGTCACCCTAAATACTTGGATGGATGAAACCCTATGAAATTGGGCGAAACCTACCTGGTGCAACTGTGCGACTTTTTTGTCGAACAGCATCAAACCATTTCGGTGTGGTACCGAAAACCGAAAATCCATATTGGGGAGGGGGGGGAGGTCAAAATCCAGCCACCCGGTTTAGGCTTCCGCTCTCTCAAATGGGCTGACTCTTCTCCCCCCAAATGGCCTCGACGCCACGGACTCTGGCCTGCGAGCACACCAAAAAAGCATGAAACCTGCTGGAGTCCATTCAGAACGAAAGATCCTGTGGATGGTTGCGAATTCCAAGCAACCAGCTCGCACCGAAGAAACCCTATGATCTGAATCCCCAACGTAAATACCAACAAACACAGCCCTTGGTTTCAGCGATTGCTTCGCTGACCAAAGAGGTACCCGCACTGGGCGCATGGCCGTCCACTGCGAACGCTCCTCCTGGCGATCGAGGGCTGGGGATCGTTTTCCTGGTTCGGTAGTTTGAGGTCAAACGCCTTTCAGAGGGAACCCTTCAATCAAGGGCCCTTTTTTAGCACATTTTGAGAGCTTGGTGGAAAAACATGTGCGGTCTCAGGAGTTTAGTATTGGTTTAGTACTAGCTAATCTAAAATTGGTATTTGCGATTTTTGGCGCAGCTGAGGGGAGTTTTAATATTAGGGGTAGGTGACTAATAGGAAGAAGTGATTCGGGCACCAATTGTCTACTATGTTCTGGGCTGGCCGCAGATCCCCTGCTAAAAGTGTAACTTGTGGCTTAAATGGAAACCCAACCAGCGAAACAACTAGAAACCGCTAAGAATCTAAGTTGAACCGGGTGGCAAGTTCCGAACGGGCAAGCTATCATTTTTTGGGAACGGGTTTCGGGCGTGTTTTGCCGGCCGATGGGCTCGCCAATCGGTCTCCAATCGCAATTCCATCTCCGCACCCCACGAGCTCCCTCGAACTCTTCAAGAATATACACGGGTGTGGTCTCTCTTTTTTGAGTCGGTACCCCTTCCAAAAACAAAAGGAAACCAAGAGCAAAACCGCTTCCGTCTCCCTTTTGGGGGTCCGATTCCCAAAAGGAAAACACCGTGTGGCTCCGATCTTTTCGCGGGTGCCCATGTTGTTTTTGGTTTCTTGGACACAGAGGGAACATGTTTATCACTTTTCAGGGGGAGCTCAGGACCAACCCAGGGTGCTCGATCTGGCCTGTGTCTCCGGATAATATGCGCAGGAGGAGTGCAAGCGGAGGAAGGGCTGGTCGATGCGCCAACTTCCAGGCTCATGCCTTGGGCCGTGCAAGGAAAACAAATGAAAAGCTGGTATCAACTTGCCCAGAAAAATGGCTCGTCTTTTTTTCGATTGGCTTCGGCTTTTCTGGTGTCCGTTTAAAACCACCACGAGGTTGCCCCGTAAGACGCACCCATATGGATTGGGATCCCGATCGTCCAACTGTTCAAGTGGAAGCAGTTGCCCCGGGACCCAGAAAGAAAGAAGTCGATTCGCTTTGGGCAAGTCAAACCTAGACCCAAGTTGGAGGTGTCTTGTGTTGAAGCCCAAGCCGTTGTTGTGCAAAGGGAAACCTACTAGAAGAACGAACCACCGTTTTTTGGAGTACCCAAATCGGTTGAACAGAAAAAATGCCAACCAAATGGAAACCCACCACTTTTTGTTTGGGGGGGTCCCTTTGAGAGAGACTCTTTTGTTCACATGCCCTGCGGGGATTGCTTGGAAAGGCCGGATCTCAGGGCACAGGGAAGCTGGTGCCAAAGGAAAACATGAGGGCCCAATACAATTGTCCAAGGTTGACCTGGTCAACATGGGGCTCTGTTGATCCTTTATCTCTTGGAGTTGTGGAATACGTACCACGAAGTCTTAAGGCTACAAGTGCCCACAGCCCCCGAGGGTTGCCGTCACCCCCTAATCCACCCTTGTCCTGCCCAAGGTGTTGGTTCAGGGTTTAGGCTTTCGGGTAAAGGTTTAGTCGGGTTTAGGTGTAGGGTCTGGAGCAAGGACGAGCTTAGGTTTAGGGTCCAGGTCAATTTCGTCCCCCTCTGCAGGCTCGTGTCTTAGCTCTCAATCGGCGAGCTTTGTCCCAACGGCGCATTGAGCAACCGCCGCCTCTGCCTTTCGAAGAGCCGAGCTGCGCTTGTATGAGCCTGAGCCTGATCATGACTATTTCGAGTGGTGACGACGGCAAGTGCTTCAGGCGGCTGAGGGCTTCAGGTTTGGGCGTCGGGGCGTTGCTGGGCGCAGGCAACCCTCAGGGGCGCGTACAAGTACCTGTGAGCAGCTTGACCAGCGAAAAGTACGAGAAGCTCTCTCGTTTTGCCAAGCACTTGCGCACAGTTTGCCTCCTCAGGTCTGGGTGTCTTTCCTGAGGGCCTTTTTCGGGAATCTCAAAATACGTCTCTTTTCCGGCCCCTGGATGGATACCTGCAGTCTCTGCAACCTTGACAAATGGGATAATACTTTACCCACGCTTTGGGGGACAGTGCTTGGCGCTTGCCCTTTTGAGAAATCACTGGACACTGTGCATGGTTTACCAAAGCGTGGCCCAAGTCATGCTCACTCGTGGTCGAAACGCTAAGCCCTTGATTGAGTCGTGCTGACGCCTCTTGTGGTCCTTTCATATGGCTACGTCATTCTTGTTCGAGGGTGGCGTTCTCTTCAATATCCTAACCCCATGTTTTAATGTTGACCCCGGATTTATACACCAGTCCTGTTTTTTTATATAGGGGGTGCTCCCTCCAAAAGTGGTCTGAATGACACCCCCCTATTAATCAGCCAGGGGCTTTAAAAAAAATCATCTGGGGTCAAGGGGGGCATTGGTCTCCCGCAGAGCCATTGCCTGACGCCATCTCTTTCCCTCGGACCCGCTTTCTTTGACCCGAGCCGCTCGTCGCTCTCGGCCAAGTTTGGCCGTGGCATGGCGGAAGCGATCCAAGCGTGTCCCGATGCGATAAGCGATCCGAACGTGTGCAATCCAGCGACACGAACTCCCCCACGACTTTGGAAGGTGCATGTGTCTAGGTCCTGTAGAGAGGTTAGAATGAGGGTACCCTTTTCTCTGCAGTCTATTTTAGCAGGGGAACCCTCCCAACCAAAAAAGGGGTGAGAAACCTAGCTGGGGGACCTAGGTGTTGTATGATGTACGTGTTGTCTTGCGGTTTTGGGGTTTCTCATGCGCCTTGGGTTTTCCGGCGCCCTCTTGCGACTCAGCGTGGAGTACTTGAGCTTCATACAGCTGAGCCGCGAGATTCTCCCGTGGCGCTCAGAGCTTGGCTCCCCACAACCGACCCACCCGGAAAATGCAGTTGGGTGTGTCTCCTTTTTGAAAACTCTGGCCCCAATCGGCAGAAACCCAAGAGGCTCCTCTTGGCTTGCCGTCAAAACCCACAACAAAAAGCGCGATATCCTCCAAAAAGGCACGCTGATTTGTAGGGAAACTCGCGGACCCGGCACATGCCGAAAAATATCTGTACGTGTGGTGTCAGTGTTTGATCGAGCAACTTAAATGGCACGTGTCCTGAATAGGCCCCCCCCAATATGGCTGATTTACCGGCCTGCCCTTCTTTTGCATCCAGAGGTTCCCCGATGCTCGGGATCCGGCCAAAGGGATCTCTTGGTCAACTTATTGGTTAAATGGATCTGACACGGGCAGACGTCCAACAGGTGATTTGGTGAATTTAGTGGACCTGTTTACCTGTACAGACGCAACCAAGGGCTTGCAACAATCGAAAAACCAAGAGGAAAATAGCTGGTATAAGTCTAGATAACGGGGCCTGGATATCACAGGTGATCACCTTCAAAAACCTCTAGATTTGGACCTACTCAGGGAAACTCAAAGGTTGCGAAGGCCGGCTTTGGGCAGGTGAGTAAAAATAACCTCTAGAAGGAAAGATTGAAACCAATCATTCAACAACCACCCTGCAAAAAAGTCAACGCAAGGGAGGTCAAGAATAGTATGCGTGTCAGAATACAGCTGGATCCCCCCGAAACGGGGATCGATCCTTGTTTCCTTTCCATGTCCCTTGAAAGCAGGGATTGATCAGGGCACCCCCCCCCAAAAAAAAAGCCAAGCCATACACACACGCATACACAACAGACACACACACGCACAACACACACACACAGACACACATCCAGTCGAAGGCTTTCTTGAGCCCCAGGACTCGCACGCGCCTGCGGTGATGGTGATGGCTCGGTGGGGCCAAGCACACCACTGAGGCCACTCTCTGCAGATGTGGTCCGCCATAGTGCTCCCTGGCCGGGGTTGTTTCTTCGCGCAGCTTCGGTTCATGATTAGAGTTAGGCCCAGTCACAGAATGTATATCTTATTGTTTGCTTCACTTTGAGTCACTGGTAAAATCTAAAATGTATCCTAAGTCTACCCCAGGGTTTATTGACATCCATTCCCGAAAACACACTCTGGCTCAGCCAAACATGGGGTGACCCTTTGGTTGCTTGGGCTGGGATGATGGAAAGTTTTCCAAGAAGCTGGAGAAAACCCAGTTTCGGGTCCCGACACCGATGCAAGCCTTAGCCTTCCTTCTAGGGGTTGGTTCCCCATTCTTTTCAGCCATCGTTCTTTTCAAAAACCAGCCATTTCCGCAGGGGTTTTGGTGCTTTTCTAGAAAAAAAGGATCCCTGAAAAGAATGCGGAAGCTACCCCTAGACTCCTTAGAGATCCACTCTCAAACAGCCCCCTCCCCCTGTTCTGTTCCAACCGAATCACGCCTGTGTAGGAGGACCTTTTGTCCAGAAAGGCGAAGGTGACGTGCATGGGGAAGAGGCCTCGAAGTTTTTTGGGTCAAAAGGGTCCGCAGAGGTGCCCTCTTTGGAAAATAGATGGCCCTGGTAGATGATTGAACCACCAGGGAAACCAGGAATCGCTCTACTTTTTAACCAAACCAACCAAAAACAACACCTATGGTCCCCCAAAGGGTAGGCTCCTTTCCTCATACCCGGTCCCGAAACCTGCCTGGGACAACATCCATGAGCACATGGCAAAACTGGGTTGCGCCCCTTGCTTTTTGCACGAAACTTGGGTTGTCCTTCCATCTCCCTCCCAAACGAACTGAAGAGGAGTAGTACTATATTGCGATTTGCTCAGATGGGAGCCATTTGGGTTTGTCTCAAAGGGGAATGTCCAAAATCGGTGTTTGTTCCTTTTCTTTCTCACCCCAAGCAAAACCACCCCTATGGCTTCCTTTAAAGGAATCCCCTTTCGGTCCCTTCCCAAGAGCCGGTCTCAGTCATTCCCTACTGAGCACCAACAAGTTGTGGCATTCCGTTTGGAACCCCAAAGCAGGTGCCTTCTCCAAACAAGCAAAACGTCTTCCCGGCTTTCCAGAGATCTTGCTCCACATCTCACCACCATTACTTCCATGGACCCCCCCTACAAAAAGAAGAGCACAAACCGAGAGAGGAAACTTTCAAAATGGAAAATGGACCCCTCCTTCACATGCCTTCCGTGGAAATTGTGCAGAGTAGATGTGACAAAATCACTGACACATCCTTATGATACCCCAGCTAGGATGACCAGGTGTTTATGATGATGCACTGATAAGACACACTCCTCCAGTATTTCCCCCGTTTTGGGTTCCTTCCGTTCGGGGAGTACCATTGACCAACCCGAAAGGCAGGCATTTTCCAGGATCTTCCTTTGCCTTCCGGCTCATATTTCCTGAGTGCATCGGCAATGGGAAAAGTCGGAACTTGTTCTTTGCCACTAAAATGGCCCAAACCCAAGTGCCTCAAAACCGAACGGATGAGCTCACAGAGCTCCCTGGTCAAAGTGTTTGCAACAAGGTCAACACCTCGGAGGGAAAAGCCGTCAATTCTGTATCCAAAAGGCTTGAGCGAAGTACTCCTCAACAAGTTGGGTCATCTTCAGCCCCCAAACACCCATTTTGGCCTTCGTCCAGCTTGTCAAACCCTGCACCGTTGGGGGTGGGTGCGGGTGTCGAGCCTCTGATTGGTCTTCTTAAACTTTCTGGGACTGGAACTGTGCCTCTCCCATCGCAACGTTCGAGTTGGAGAGGCAAGGGGGGTTGACCCACGTATCAAGAAAATCAGAGCAGGCGCAGCGGGTTACGTTTTTAGCGCGACGCTTTCAAAAAAAAAGATGCGTGTCTTCGTGTCTTCGCCCAAGCCCTGCTGACTCCCTGAGGCCCTGAAGATGCGCGTTTTCGCCTTGCTGCTCCCTGAAGCCCTGAAGCCCTGACGATGCGCGTCTTTGTGTCTTCGTGTCTTCCCCGAAGCTCTACTGACTCCCCGAAGCCCTGAAGCCCTGAAAATGCGCGTCTTCGTGTCTTCGCCGAATCTCTACTGACTCCCTGAAGCCCTGAAGCCCTGAAGATGCGCGTCTTCGTGTCTTCGCGTTTTCGTGTCTTCGCCCAAGCTCTGCTGACTCCCTGAAGCCCTGAAGCCCTGAAGCCCTGAAGCCCTGAAGCCCTGAAGCCCTGAAGATGCGTGTCTTCGTGTCTTCGTGTCTTCGTGTCTTCGTGTCTTCGTGTCTTCGCCGAAGCTCTGCTCACTCCCTGAAGCCCTGACGCCCTGAAGATGCGCGTCTTCGTGTGTTCGCGTCTTTGTGTCTTCGCCCAAGTCCCTGAAGCCCTGAAGCCCTGAAGATGCGCGTCTTCTCGTCTTCGCGTTTTCGTGTCTTCGCCCAAGCTCTGATGACTCCCTGAAGCCCTGACGCCCTGAAGCCCTGAAGCCCTGAAGCCCTGAAGCCCTGAAGATGCGTGTCTTCGTGTCTTCGCCGAAGCTCTGCTGACTCCCTGAAGCCCTGACGCCCTGAAGATGCGCGTCTTCGTGTGTTCGCGTCTTTGTGTCTTCGCCCAAGCCCTGCTGACTCCCTGAAGCCCTGAAGCCCTGAAGATGCGCGTCTTCTCGTCTTCGTGTCTTCGCCAAAGCTCTGCTGACTCCTTGAAGCCCTGAAGCCCTGAAGCCCTGAAGCCCTGCAGCCCTGAAGCCCTGAAGCCCTGAAGATGCGCGTCTTCTCGTCTTCGTGTCTTCGCCAAAGCTCTGCTGACTCCCTGAAGCCCTGAAGCCCTGAAGCCCTGAAGCCCTGAAGCCCTGAAAATGCGCGTCGTCTTTGCCGAAGCTTTTGCTGACTCCCTGAAGCCCTGAAGCCCCGAAGCCTTGAAGCTCTGAAGATGCGTGTCTTCATGTCTTCGCGTCTTCGTGTCTTCGACGAATCTCTGCTGACTCCCTGAAGCCCTGAAGCCCTGAAGCTGTGAAGATGCGTGTCTTCATGTCTTCGCGTCTTCATGTCTTCGACGAATCTCTGCTGACTCCCTGAAGCCCTGAAGCCCTCAAGATGCGCGTCTTCATGTCTTCGCGTCTTCGTGTCTTCGACGAATCTCCGCTGACTCCCTGAAGCCCTGAAGCCCTGAAACCCTGAAGTTCTGAAAATGCGTGTCTTCATGTCTTCGCGTCTTCGTGTCTTCGACGAATCTCTGCTGACTCCCTGAAGCCCTGAAGCCCTCAAGATGCGCGTCTTCATGTCTTCCCGTCTTCGTGTCTTCGACGAATCTCTGCTGACTCGCTGAAGCCCTGAAGCCCTCAAGATGCGCATCTTCATGTCTTCGCGTCTTCGTGTCTTCGACGAATCTCTGCTGACTCCCTGAAGCCCTGAAGCCCTGAAGCCCTCAAGATGCGCGTCTTCGTGTCTTCGCGTTTTCGTGTCTTCGACGAATCTCTGCTGACTCCCTGAAGCCCTGAAGCCCTGAAGCTCTGAAGATGCGTGTCTTCACGTCTTCGCGTCTTCGTGTCTTCGACGAATCTCTGCTGACTCCCTGAAGCCCTGAAGCCCTCAAGATGCGCATCTTCATGTCTTCGCGTCTTCGTGTCTTCGCCGAATCTCTGCTGACTCCCTGAAGCCCTGAAGCCCTGAAGCCCTGAAGCTCTGAAGATGCGTGTCTTCATGTCTTCGCGTCTTCGTGTCTTCGACGAATCTCTGCTGACTCCCTGAAGCCCTGAAGCCCTCAAGATGCGCGTCTTCATGTCTTCGCGTCGTCGTGTCTTTTACGAATCTCTGCTGACTCCCTGAAGCCCTGAAGCCCTGAAGCCCTGAAGCTCTGAAGATGCGTGTCTTCATGTCTTCGCGTCTTCGTGTCTTCGACGAATCTCTGCTGACTCCCTGAAGCCCTGAAGCTTCAAGATGCGCGTCTTCATGTCTTCGCGTCTTCGTGTCTTCGACGAATCTCTGCTGACTCCCTGAAGCCCTGAAGCCCTGAAGCCCTGAAGCTCTGAAGATGCGTGTCTTCATGTCTTCGCGTCTTCGTGTCTTCGACGAATCTCTGCTGACTCCCTGAAGCCCTGAAGCCCTGAAGCCATGAAGCCCTGAAGCCCTGAAGCGCTGAGGATGCGTGTCTTCGTGTCTTCGTGTCTTCGGGCCAAATTTTGGTGTAACCCTCTGCGCCTTCAATGGCGAAAATGATTACTCCCCTATACGGCTTAAAACGGAACCCCCCAAAAAGTAGTTGCCTCCACAAATGTTGGTCCATTGGTTTCTATGTTGATTTGTAGGGCAGCAACGCGTTCTGTTCCGAAACGCGGTACCTTGATGCAAAAAACAAGAGCTCATGAAACGATTCGCCCAAAACATGTGGGTTCCCTGACTCAGATTTGTCACGTACAATCAGTGCCCCCAAAAATGCGAGTGAATCAGCCACACCAACCACACAAACCTGCCAACGGTTGCTGTGATTTCCCCATCGGACCGGTGAAACTACACATTGTTTCGCCTTGCTGAATATATAGCTGTGGGTCAATAATAAGTACCCAAAATGGAACCCTGGTAAATCGACATGGACTAGAACCTGTGGTCCCGTGGTCGTTTCATTTTAACCCATACCCATATGTTCGTTTTTGGCATCCATTTCCACCAACGCACACCCTCGAGAGACGCATCTCTCCGAGCGGCTCATCAGAAAGCTCACGATTTCCACCTAGCGCATTGAGGCAATGAGCCGAATCGAAGGTTTCCTTTACGGGGATCCCCCCAACACCCAAAGGTGATTCTGGATCCTGAGAACCAGCAAGAGAACAGGGCACCACCTTGCAGGGCTCATGACACCATTGAGCGGGAACTCACTTTTGAAGGCTCCAACGGGTGATGCCTTTTCTTCTGGACAATATCGAATGTGAACTTTGCCATTCAGGCGTTTGAAGGACCCTGCCAAGGAACCCCAATAGATTGCTGGACAATTGTTTGACCTGCAATGGACCCGAAAAGAAAGGAACCTTGGGGCAAATCCGTCGCAAACCACAACCGTTATTGTCACCATGACTTTGGCTTTGATGGTTTCTGGGGCAATGGAACTTGTTGCTGGTTTCCCCTCCAACGGCGGGGGGGCCGCTTTTAGGTTTCATTTTCATCGAGCTCCCGAAGAAGAATGCACAGGATCCACAGCAAGTTGCCAAGGCCTCGTCCTTACCCCTAGCAAGCTTTGGCTGTGTTCGGAAAAGAACACAACCTTTTGGTAAAGGGAAACCCGAAGGGAGCCTCTCAGCCATTTCACGGGGCCATGCTTTCTTTTTTGGTGAGAGAAACCTCACCCTTTACCCGTTTTCCTTGGGCTAGTGCAATCCGAAGCAGAGGCTATTTCGCGCCGGCCGGTTCTCGCTGCAGTTGATACAACCAAGGGCGTCTCAAAGCAATAACACACACACACACACACACACACCAATCTGGGTGATGAAAGTTGCAAGTCCTATCATAAAAATGCTAGTATCCTTCTCATGCACGTTGCACTCCTATTGCTCACCATGAGAACCAGCCCGTTATGAATGGAAACTTCATCAGTGGCTTCACCCACTCTGAGACAAGAAAAGAATTGGCCAGCAGGGCAGTCATGTTTCAACTGGCTTTTGGACATCTTTGAGCCTTAGCTCCGTACTTGGACCAAAAACATTGCCAAAAACGGGGCCTCTGGACAAAACAGTCACAAAATGATCCATCGTCACTTTGGGTGTCCTTTTGAGATTGCTCTTTGGAATGTGGCCCATCCCTTTTGGCTTCCTTTCAGGAAAGCTGAAAATAAGCCCAGGTGACATCCCCAGCCCCGCAACTGAAAGCTGCCCCAAACCACCCCAAAGCTTGTTTGGACAAAGACCTGAGGGCCTCTCCGACGATTGAACCCGTGGACTTGAGTTGCAATCCTGTGGCTTTCTTGGATGTTGTTGCTGAGTTTTGAAAAGGGGAAACGTTTGCCGCTTCATCTTGAAGAGACACCCAAGACAGTGCTTCATTGTGAAGGGGTCCTCAGACCCACTGAAACGATACAACTAGCTTGTGGGTTACATGGAAACCACCACGAAACCAACTAAAAACCTGAAAGCCTAAAATGGAAACCGCCACTAAACCAACTAAAAACCTGAAACCACAACTAAACCAACTAAAAGCCTGAAAACAGAAAATGGAAACCACCACTAAACCAACTAAAAGCCTGAAAGCCTATACCGGAAACCACCACTAAACCAACAAAAAGCCTGAAAGCCTATACTGGAAACCACCACTAAGCCAACCAAAGACCTAAAACCCTTAGATGGAAACCAACCAAACCTATGAACCTAAGTGGAGCCGGCTGGCTGGGGTTCCCACCAACAAGTCCAAAGGACTGGATGCCCGGGACCTACCGCGAGCCAAGCGACGTCCAAGGCTGGGTGGTCAACCAAGGTCATCGCCTGACCAAAAGCTCTAAGCCCCGAGCGGCGAACACAGACCGCTGCTCAATACCGGGCCCCTTGCTAGGTGGGGAATCAATCCTCTACCAGACAAACCCTGAGAACTTCCATTGTTCCCTGGAAAAAAATAAAAAACATGTTCACTAGTGATAGATTCCCTTTAAAGCCAACAGATTCCCTTTTGTTGGTGTCTGAGGGTTTTTGTATTACACCCGACAATTACACCCTTGGGAAATGACCCATGGTTCAAAATTACGCGGTTTTATCCGGAAATATGGTGGGGTCAATACCCATTGGGTGTATTTCCAGGGTTACACACACCCTCAGATTGTGGGGAATCCTCTACCAGGCAAACCCTGACAAAGAACCGGGGGATGCCTGCCACAGGATAAGCGCACCCGCTCACGGGCACAACAAGCTGAACAGCCCGCTCAGCATTGCGCACACATGCTCAGAACTGCACGCGCGCCTGCCTAATGGTAAGCGCACCCGCGCAAGAGCGCGCAGCCGGCATATCTCCACAAGGCATGCCAGGCACAATCTGGGAGCCATGACTGCCGAGGTTTAGCCGCAACCGTTTCAAGTCATGCGTCACGCGTTAGTTGGTCCAAGCCTCTAGAAGACACATTTTGCCAGCAAGTTTTGCCAGCAAGTTCAAAACACCTTGGAATATGTCCACAAACTGCGCACTGGGCAGGTATCCACCCGATGCGTTCTAAAATGGCCGATGGAGGGTTTGGGCCCTGCTCACATGATTCTCCTTGTTGGCTATTAAACAGTTTAACTGTTTGACTGGGAAAACACTCACATTCGTCCAACTGATGAAGGTTAAAGATATCAAATGGCTGTGCCTCTGTTTTAGGGGACCTCGAAAATAGTGTTTTTCCTGTTGGTCTCCATTCAAAACCACACAGCCAGGGGTACACCCAAAGTTTCCTGGACCTTTCCAATGACTCGTTTATCGCGTTCAAAGGAGGTTTCCGCGTAGAAGGAGACAACCTAAAACCCAAGTAAACATGGTGCTTCAAATGAACACGACTAAGCCAATCTTCAACAACCTGTTCACAAGCCCCATGCTTCAGGGCCTTAAGTCCGAACAAGACATCCAGCAAAAACCGTTTGGACGAATTGAAGCGGAAACGACAAGAAACGACTGAAACGGCCAACCAAGAGCGGGATGGTTTCCTGATTCAGTCCAGTTTTGCTTTTGATTCGGCCTAGGCCAAGGCAAGTTGCAGCTCACTTTACCCAAACGGATGCACATCAAAGAAGAAATGTCCATGTCCTCATATGAACCCTTAGCGCCTCAGCGTGGGGGTTCATTAAACCACTCGATTGTCTTTGTGGGGAAGCCAGCGACCATGGGGTTCAACACGGCCACGAGATCATATCTGGATACTTTCAATCTGCCTCCTTTCGGCTTCCCTTTCAAACAACCCCAAACCAGGGTGCCCTCAAAAAAAACACACTTAAATGGGAACAAACAAGAGTGAATAAGTGTCAAAAAAAAACGCAGCCTTCTTGTCACATATGTGTATATAGAATTAGAATGAAGAAGGGCCGCGAAAAGACAAAACATGCGAGAAGGTGTGAACGAAACAACAAAACACACATACACACACACACACACACACACACACACACACACACACACACACACACACACACACACACACACACACACACACACACACACACACACACACACTCACACACACATACACACACACACACATGATTGTCCCGCAAACTGGATTCCTTGAAGGATTGCCAAAGCCACCTCTAGAAGACACAAAGAATGATCTCACGGATCCACAGATTCCGGCGAGTTCGGCCTTGATGGGCTGTGTCCATGTCGCCTCCCGATGCTCCTTTCGCCAGGGTCCTCAGGGGCGGCTCTGGGTCTAGGAAGGTTTTGGGATGAAAACAAACACCGCAGCAGGAATCCAGCAAACAATGGCCAGAATCTCTAGGGGTACCTTCCGCATTCTTTCCAGGGATCCTTTCTAAAAACCCAGGTTGCTGTTGACCCCTGCAAAAGTTTTTAACTTTTTGGGTTTAGTGGAAAACCCCCTTGACTTCCCGAAAAGTTAAAGTCTCTAAAGATCCGTTGCCCAATAGCAGTCAAGCAATGGCCAGAATCCAGCTAGCTTCTCTGACACGGGTCTTTCCCTGCTCGCTGGATGAACACAAAACGGGAAACATGCTGGAAGAAACATGCGGGAGCCCAGCCATGCTTTGGGACTTTCGGAAGTGGATTGACTTTTTAGGAGCACTTAGGTTGGCAACCAGCACTTTTTAGGAGCACTTTAAGGACTCCGGAAAGGGAAGGGTTGACTTTGGCAGGCAGCTAAGATCCCCGAACTTTAGGGAATATTCACAAAGATAATGTGAGCGACGGGTGTGAGTTCTAACTTTTTGGCGGAGGGCCGTTCGGTGGACATCATAATTCGGTGGGGATTCCGGTAACCACCGTTGCCACTTTGGAGGTGTACCCACAATGGGCATCTGGTTTGACCCACACCTATACACATATTTATGTCTGTTCGAGGGCAAGCCAACTTGAGTGTTCGGCCAAATTAGTCAGTTGTTGGGAACCCAAGTGAAAAACCCACTCATAAGTCACCCGTTCAGGGGATTAACCTTGTCACCGCGGTCCAGCCAGCAAACCACACATCTATGAAGGGACCGGTCCCAAGGTCCCAATAGCCCCGCGGAACAGATGAACAAACTCCGCCTGCGGAACGCTTGGCCCAACACCAGGCTACACACACGAGAACACTTCCAATGTTCATCCATGTTTACTCCACTTATTTATCAAACAAGTTTGGAGAAGACCTCATGGATGCTCCTCCGGCTAGCCTCCCCCCCCTCCCCTCCCCAACTCCTGGCGCTTCCAGCGGCGCCAACACCACCGAAGCCGAAGGCGGCGGCGCATAGGTGGCCCAAGGCGCCACGCGGTGCGAGCGGCCCAGGTTCAGCAACTGGCGGAGGTGCGGGGCGTGGGTCGCATGGGTGTTGGGCTTTGCTGGGTGCGATAGGCAGGGAAGGAGAAATGGAATGACCCCGATTTCAACAAATCAAAGGGGCGGTTTCCTTTTTGGGAATCGACAGGTTCATTCCTTCCTTCCCTGCTAAGCACCAGCAAGTTTGTTGGGGTGGTTTGAGCTTTCCTGGTGGGGTTTGAGTTTCTGTCTTTTTGGGGGGGAGGGGGGAGGAGGGGGGAGGAGGGGGGAGGAGGGGGGAGGAGGGGGGAGGAGGGGGGAGGAAAAAATGGTAAAAGTAGGGGGCCTGGGGGGTGGTCTGTTGATGGTCCCCTGTTATGTTTTTTATATTCATCTCAAACCTATTAACCACCTTATTCGTTTTTAAAAGAGGGTTTTTAGGGAGCTTATTTATCGTTTTCGTTAAGGTAATCATTTGGGTAAATTGTCGCCTTGTTCATTGTTGGGCTGGGGGCCGACATTTTTTCATTTGAAAGAGGTAGCCCTTTTAGTAGTTATCAAGTTCTGAGGTGTTGGTGGTGTATTTGTTTTGTTAGTGTTTTTCTCACTAATTTTCATTTATAGGTTAAAAGTTCAGTATAATTATAACATATCATATTTTCTCGCCAGGTACTCAGTCTGTCATCTCTGAGTGAAACTTGCTTGACACTGTTCTGTATTTATTTTGGAATGTGAGCCATTCTTCACTGCTTTGTGTGAATGAGACAAGTCTGACACTGCATTGCTTGATGGAATGTAATCCGTCCTCGCCGTTCCAATCACAGCTTTTGGTGATACACGGTTTGTCAATCTGACCCTGGCACTCCTGTTCTTCTGAGCAATGGCACCCAAGTCATCTGCCGCTTCGTCCAGCGGGTATGTGAATACCGATGAGCAGGAGCAGACAGAGCAGACAACTGAGCAGGTGGCTGAGCAGCTGGATCATATGATTGCTCTGGACATGGCGGAGGAAGAGATTATCACCAAGGTCCAGCGGCTCTGGAGGCTCTCGTGGAGAATGAGGAGGCGTTCAACCAGCACCTCGCTGACATCCAGGCAAAGACAAAGCTGATTGCGAACCAGAAGGCAATCTTGGTCAAGGCTCAGAAGGAAGTGACTGCCAAAGCCAAAGCGAAGGCTAAAGCCGTTGCAAAGGCTGAGGCCAACCGTGCTCTTCGTATGGGCCCAATCACGGTGTCATGCATCATGCCTGACAACACGGTGGCACGTCTGAACATCGACAAGGGTGCCACCATCGGGGCACTGAGGAGGCGCTTGGTGAAGAGGGCTCAGAAGAAGGGCTTCATGAGAATGTCGGTACCACCCGCAAGGGCAAGATCATGACGAAGTTTGAGGAGGTTGCCCTTGCCCACTCGAGCGGGAACATCGGTGAGCGTCCTCGCGTGTTCCTGTATAACCTCGCCATCCTGCTGAACAACCCCGTGGTGTGCCTCATGATGACGGAGAACTATGTCAATGGCTTGTCTGTGGCCCTTCCTGCTATCCCCGCTGACCAAGCTCCTGCCGACGAGGCTCCAGCTGATGAGGATGAGGATGACGATGACGTCTCCGATGAGGAAGACGATGACTGAAAGCCTGTCAGTAAGTGGCTGACCTTCTGAAGCCAACCCATGGCTTCTCATGTGGCAGGGGCATGAACCGCTGTAAAACTCCTCATATATGTTGATGTCATCTGAATGCCATAGCTGTGTTGATTGAGAGTTCGTGAGCTTGCCCATTGCCAGAGACACCTCTCGATGAGTGATGTGAAAGATTGCTTCGTGCAATGTCAGTGGAAGCACTCATTGTATCAGAACATGAACAATTGGCTTGATGGCTTGATTGGTATGTTTCAGTTTTGGGTTCAGCGCTTGACCAGACTGTCAGAGTAGTATCAACCAAAATGCCGCTTGCCTTCCTGAAAATCAATGACAACGTGCAGTGCGTCTGCTTCCAGAATGGAGAGGTCATCCGACCTCACATGATGGTGGAGGTTCCTGAGGTGGAGCAGTTGAGTGAGCTGTCCCGCGATGCCTTGAAGAGCCTCCTCGTTCCAGCTGACAAATTTCTCCAAATTGGATAAGAACCGTGTCTGCTCCCGCATCATTGAGAACTGGCAGTTGGTGCTTGATGGTCTCGCTGGTCGCCACGAAGACACCTTCACCGACAATACTGAGGAGGTCACCACGGAAGAGCCCACAGTCAGCAGTGAGCCGGTTGTTCAGGATGAGCACGACCAGCCTACGGCTTCGTCGTCCATCGTCTTGGTTAAGATGGTGAAGGTGGAGTTCATCAGAGATGAGAAGGAACTGCCACTCACCTTTGAGTTGAACGTGGAGGCCACCCTTGTGTCCGACCTTCTTGACCTCTACCAAGCCGAGACCAGTGTGCCCAAGGAGCAGGTCTGCTTCTTCAGCGGCATCAAGCGGATGGAGCACTTCAGGCGCCTCGTGGAGTATCTGGACACCAACGGCAAGCTTCAGGTCAAGGTCCAGCCTCGGGTTCAAGGTGGTGGAAAGCGGGGCTCCACTGGGTCAAGTAAGATGTCCAAGTCCAAGAAGACCGAAGACCTGATTGACAACATCAACACTGTTGTCCTGAAGACGTCCAAGGATGATGCCTCGCAGTTCTCAAAGGAGATGGCGCATATGTTCAACCGTGTTCTGGAGTGTGTGAATGCTGACCCCTCCAGTGTGCTCACTGCATCCCTCAATGACTTCAAGGTTGAGCAGTTCCAGAAGTTCCAGGTTGCCCTTGCGTCGGGGAACGGTGACCACAAAATCACATCCTTTGGCAAGGAGGTGTTCCGCTCCAAGCTCAACGAGATTGAATGTCTCCGCCGTGAGTTTGACAACCTCCAGAAGGGTATGACAGATGTCGGCAACCTCATCCTGCTGTCATCCCAGTTCGGAAATGAAGACTGCTCCATCTCTTGGACGCCCTTGTCTGAGTTGGTGGCCAAAATGCTCACCGAAAAATCGAGGGCATAGTCCGGCACCGCTCCAGTTGTCAAGACGATGGATGGCTGAAAAGCCACTGCATTGTCAATAAAGACCCTGCACAGCCTGAGTGGATAGAGTGAAAGACAACTCCTTTTAGTGTGTGCGTTTGCTTGAGAATTCCCCGAAGATTTTTTCCAAACAATCACCCCGGGACAAGCACCCGAAACAATGGGGTGGGACAACCACCCGAAACAATGGGGTGGGACACCCACCCAAAACAATGGGGCGGGACAACACCCTGTGTTTTGGTCATTCCCTTTGAATGTAAAGGGGAAATGTGGCGCAAAAAGGGTTTGAAACAGGGGGGTCTGTTTGTTGAAAACCTGAACTGAAACAATAGGTCAAAACAGTGGGTTGAAACAAAGGTCTTGTTTTGCTCATGTTTCCACACAAACAAGTCCCCAAAACAACACCCTGAAACAGAGCCCTATGTTTGACAACCCCCCTTTCCCGCTTTGCTCGTCTCTGAGGTCGAGAAGTCATCGTGCGGATTGTCTATAACGCTGACGACTACTAGGTTCTGAGTTGGGTTGGGCTTCGGTCCCCTGAGCACCCTAAAGCAAACTGACAATTATCTCACTAACCAAATTTGAAGGAACCCTATACAACTCATCTTGTTTATGTTTGATGTATCCCTCACCCCAATCTGATTTCTTTCCCGATGGCAACCGTTGAGCAGTTTCAAGGTGTCGCCCATTCCTAACCTTCCCGCAATCCCCTTTGCATAATGGTCTGGGTTTTCATGTTTCAATGTTTGACCACAACCTCGTTCGCTTCCTGTAGTTCATGCCATATTTACAATAATCCACATCATAGTATTTCAACCCACTCATGAATGGTTGTTCCTTCAAAAGTCCAGTTTGAGGATTTTCCACAACCCACCATGTAGGTTTGAAGTAGTCAATGATTTCAAGGGTTTTCAAAACGATGCTGTTAGCATACTCAATCTTTCGGACGCCCGTCGTCTTCGCTCGACTGTATTCAGTGCATGGAGGAGATGCCCAAATCACATCAAACTCGCCCACATCAAACTCACGATAATCCCAACTCAAAATATCAGTATTGATATTTGCATTTTTCAAATCAAGGGAAATGACACTAAAACCCAAATCCCGAGCAACCCGACCAACCGAGCCTGTCCCTGAAAATAATTCTAATAATTTCATATTATTAGAACTATTTAGATAATTTTATGGAATAATGCCCATATGGTAATGAAGTGAAAGCATCAATATAAAACCTTTTATTTTCATAATTACTGAGAGATTGCTTTACTTGAGACATTGAATATATTTGATGCGACTTACTTCTGATGAAGTTATATGTGATTTCATGCTTTTTGTTTTGAAACAATGCTTCGTGATAGTTGTGATACGACAGTTCTTTTTTCACTTTGTGTTTCACTACACCTTTTGATTTCTTATGTTCATCAACCTCACCGTGAATTGTGAAGGCGTAAGATTTAGGTTTTAATCCGATGAATTTAGTAATGATTTTTCCATTCACTTCGTCCTTAAACATTCCTAAGACCTTCTTATTAGTTTTGTCATGACATGGATGCTCAACAGGATAGTCGCTAAAATCCATGTGTTGCTTTATATCATTGAAATCCTTATAGACATCATCAGTCATTGTTTGAATTACATAACTGTCAGTATCGGTATAAACCAGTTTTATGTTTTCATTATACTTCTTTTTCAATACATCATAGTAAAACTGATACATATGTAATTTGCTTAAATCTAAAATGCTCATTCCCAGGAAAATCGGCTTATCCAATTTCAGCTTCGCTTTAGTTTTCTCAACTCCTACGAGATTTTCATTAATAATAAATCTGTTTTTGAATGTTGGATTATTAACACATTTTTCATATCTTACCTCATTATCAACTAATTCAAAATCCATATGGTTTCGCTTGTCTTCCATAGTTTTTCCGTACACCGCGTTATTCATTAATTTGAATAAATCTTTCTCAAAATCGCTTTTGGCTTCTTTCCT